TCACATGAGGGTAAAAAGAAGAAAATACGTGCTCTGTGTGATACTGGATCGCAAAGGTCGTATATTAGGAAAAACGTAGTAAAAGAGTTAGGCCTTAAGGTAGGAGGTATAGAGAATTTAGGTTATTCACTATTTAGTGGTGTTACTAAGCCAGCAGAAAACCACAGTCTTGTCGAAGTGAATGTAAGTAGTCTAGATTCTTCTTTCTCTACAAAATTCATTGCTCTTGAACTCGACGACATTTGTGGCTATCTTCCCAAAGCAGACGATCCCAAGCTAAGGTCAAAGTTAAAGTCACTGAATATAAGTATTGACGACAGTGACTGTGACCTTAGCGATGTAAATATGTTAATAGGAGCTGATTATTTAGGAGTAATTTGTACGGGCACTATTGTACAATTAGATGGGCCTTTAGTAGCTATTAAGACGAGGCTAGGATGGATATTACAGGACCTTAACTTTTATAGTGCTGCACAATGCTCAATGACTTTCAATTGTCACGCTCAGAGTAAAATTTCAGATTTGTGGGATTTAGAGATATTAGGGATTTCAGAGCCACATGAACAGATGTGCAAAGATAGGAAAAAAGAAGAGGTAATGAGTCAATTTGAGCAGAATATTAGTTTTAAAGACAATTGTTACCAAGTAGGGTTTTTGTGGAAAGATGGTTACCCCGAAATAGGCAGTAATTACAATGTAGCTTATAAAAGACTTTTAACGACGACTAGGAAGTTAGAGAGGACTGGTCATTTGCTAAGTTATAACGATGTTTTTCAGAATTGGTTAGACGAAGATATTATAGAACATACTGAAAACAATATAGCAGAAGGACACTTTATTCCTCATCACGCAGTTATTAAGATGTCTAGGACTACAACGAAGATACGTCCAGTATTCGACGCATCGTGTAAAGATGCGCAAGGATTGTCTTTGAATAACTGCATCGAATCGGGTACCATCATTCATTCATTACAGCCCTTCACAAGTCCACTGCTGAACGTAGGCCTCCCCCAAAGAATGCCACAAAGCACGGTCCTGAGCCACCTGCATCCATCGACTTCCTGCATGTCTTACCAGGTCGTCACTCCATCTCGTGGGGGGACGCCCTACACTTCGCCTACCGGTACGAGGCTGCCACTCGAGAACCTTTCTTCCCCATCGGTTGTCGGTTCTTCGAGCTATATGGCCGGCCCACTGCCACTTCAGCTTACTAATCCGTTGGGCTATGTCGGTTACTCTGGTTCTACTGCGGATATCCTCATTCCTAAGTTTATCACGCAGAGAAACTCCGAGCATAGCCCTCTCCATAGCTCGCTGAGCGACCTTGAGCTTCCTCATACGGCCAGCAGTGAAGGACCACGTCTCAGTTCCATAAGTCATCACTGGCAACACGCACTGGTTGTACAATTTCGTTTTCAGGTTTTGAGGTATGTCTGACGAGAAGATGTGTCGTAGCTTCCCGAACGCTGCCCAGCCGAGTTGAATCCGTCGATTGACCTCTCGGTCGAAGTTGGACTTACCTAGTCGGACTATTTGTCCCAGGTAAACATACTCGTCAACAACTTCGAGCTTAGTGCTCCCAACAACTACCGGCATAGGTGTGACATGGACATTGAACATGATCTTTGTTTTGTCCATGTTCATCTTAAGACCTATCCGTTGGGAAACACTATCGAGGTCATTGAGCATAGTGCTTAGGTCCTCCAGCGATTCTGCCATAAGGACTATATCGTCGGCAAATCGAAGGTGAGTGATGTACTCGCCATTGATGTTGATACCGTATCCTTTCCAGTCCAGAAGCTTGAAAACGTCTTCCAATGCAGCGGTGAAGAGTTTCGGGGATATGACGTCACCCTGTCTTACACCTCTCTGCAATTGGATAGGTTTCGTACTCTGGTTCTGTACTCGGATAGCCATCGTAGCCCTACTGTACAAGCACTTCAACACTTCCATATACCGACAGTCAACTTGGCACCGCTGAAGGGACTGCAGCACCGCCCAAATTTCGACGGAATCAAAGGCTTTCTCATAGTCCACATACGCCAGACATAGTGGCAAATTGTACTCTTCGGACTTCTGTACAATTTGCCGAAGGGTATGTATGTGGTCTATGGTGCTAAAGCCCTTTCGGAAACCGGCTTGTTCGGGAGGCTGGAAGTCGTCAAGTCTGCGCGCGAGACGATTCGTAATGACTCTCGAAAACAGCACGTAGACGCGGCTCAGAAGGGAAATCGGTCTGTAGTTCTTCAAGAGAGCGTTGTCAACTTTCTTGAAGAACAAGACCACCGCACTTCTGCTCCACGCCTCCGGTGTAATGCCACCATGGAGGACGGAATTAAAGAGCTTCTGAAGGACTTCAAGTACCGGTCTTCCACCCGCTTTCAGAAGCTCCGCTGTAATTCCATCCTCGCCTGGGGCCTTACCGTTTTTAAGGTGCTGGAGAGCCATTCTAATCTCGCTCAGACTGACATCCGGGATATCTTCGGAATAGTGTCGGATGAGACTCGCTCTTGGATCGTTACTCACACTTGCGTGTGGCTCCAACGATGATGTGTACAGCTGCCCATAGAACCTTTCAATCTCACTCAAAATCTCAGGTGTCCCGGAAACGACGCTGCCACACTCCGTCTTCAGCTTTGACAGTTGGCTCTTTCTGGCAGACAGATCTCTGGCAAAGACTTTGGAGCCTTGGTTCCGCTCGATCGCTTCTTCAATACGAGCTGTATTGAAGTTGCGTAAGTCCCGCCGCATGCATTTGGAGATCTGTCTGTTCAGATGCCTGTATGCTGTCAAGTCTGTTGAAGAATGTAGCTTCATCTCCCGTCTAACAGCCATGAGATTAAGAGTGTGATCGGAGAGTTTTTGTGTTCTTCTGCGGCGGGTCTTGCAGAACTTAGCTCCGACCGCATGGACAGTTTCCACGAGCTTGTCATTCATATCGTCCACTTCATTGCAGTCTTCCAGGCACTGAAAACGGTTTTGTAACTCGAGCTGAAAGGTTTCGGGACTTTGGAACAGAGCACGAGGGGGACGGAGCATTGACTTCATTAGACGAGACCTCTCCAACTTAACGTTTAGGTTCAGTGTGCCTCTAACCATTCGGTGATCGCTACCAGTTTTCACCCTCGCGATCACGGAGACATCACTGAACAGTTGTCGTCTGGTCGTCATAATGAAGTCAATCTCATTTTTTGTGGAACCGTCGGGGCTCGACCAGGTCCACTTCCTGTGGGGCCGCTTCTGGAAGAAAGAGTTCATCATAAAGAGTCCCTCTTTCTCCATGAAGTCGGCCAGCTGCTGGCCCCTTGGGTTCCGTTGCCCTATTCCAAATTTCCCTACTTTCAGCTCACCGTTCTCTCTTGTGCCTAGTTTTGCATTGAAGTCTCCCATTAACACCGTATATTGGGTTTTGGAGGAATGCATGGCTCTAGAGATATCCTCATACATTTCCTCCACCTCCTCATCGAGGTGTGCCGAGGTTGGTGCGTAAACCTGTATGACCTTCAGCGAATACCGTTTGGTTATTCTGAGTATAAGGTACGCAACCCTCTTCGACACACTCCCGATATTTACAACGTTGTTAACGAGAGACTTGTGGACGATAAATCCGACACCTCCTTGGGACAGATGGTCGCCCTCCCGGTGATAGAGCAAGTTGCCGGATTCGAGGATTACCGTGTCCTCCCCCTCTCTTCGGACTTCGGATAATTCTATAATATGCCAGCGCAACTTGTCTATCTCTTCTTCCAGCTCCACGATCTTCTCGTCAGTCCTCAGGGTGCGTGCGTCGTACGTTGCCAGGTCGAGTCGTCTAAGGTGGCAACCGAACCTCCACCGGAGATTCTTAGCACCCCCTGCCCCGCCGTTACCATGGTCGCCAACGTAGCCAGGAATAGCGGGGCCGCCGGGGACTGGGGGCCGTCTGTTTGTTGCTTTATTCATTGGGGGGTATTTGCCATAGTTGCCACGCTTGGCGAGCGGGTTGGCAACCGCAGTTTTTTTATTGTAATTTGGCTATTATCAGGAAGATGCTGCTGCCCATCTCCTGCCTGTTTCCCTTTGTCGCCTTTTACGACACCCACGGGAGGATATGGGGTAGTGGATATTCTTGACCGCCACTACACGGTACCAATCTTATAGAACTAATCCCTAAATTATTGATGAACTTTAGGAAAGGTACGTACGGCGTCACGTCGGATATAAAGCAAGCCTTTCTGCAAATTTTAGTTTCAGAGAAAGATAGAGAGTATTTAAAGTTTCTGTGGTGGGAGAATCCGTTGACCAAAGAGAAGATAGTCACTTTCAGACATAAGAGAGTAGTATTTGGGGTGACTTGTAGTCCGTTTCTCTTGGCGGCTACGATTAATTATCACTTAGGCAATTTTGAAGGAATGTACGGTCAGACAGTTGAAATTTTGAAACACTCCTTTTATGTTGATAATTGTGTAGCTAGTTTTGATACAAAAGAGGCTTTATTTACTTTTATAGACGAAGCTAAGGAAGTTATGCTAAAGGGTTTTGATTTACGATGTTGGGTTACCGCTCCTATTAGAGTAGATAACACTGTCCAGACTCAATCTGTATTAGGAGTGCTATGGAATACTCTTACGGACGAATTACAGTGTAGTTTCCGTCTTAGTAGCACTATACCAGATCGGGTCACGAAGAGAGATCTTTTGTTATTAACTCAGCAGATATTTGACCCTATTGGATTTCTTGCACCTGTTATCCTAGTGCCTTAACTAATAGTACAAAAGGCTTGGATAGATAGTACAGGTTGGGATCAAGCTATCAGCAACGAGTTATCGAAGGAATTTAAGAGTTGGCTAAATCATGTTCATCTGATAAATGATTGCAAGTTGCCGAGACGCTTATCAGAGGAGAGGTTGACGAACTGTAACAAAAGTTTACATTTGTTTTGTGACGCATCTATTAATGCTTATGCAGGTTGTGTCTTTCTTCGGACCGAATGCAAAAGTGAAGTTACGATTAGGCTGGTTATGGCCAAAAGTAGAGTAGCGCCAATTAAAAGATCAATAACTTTACCTAGATTGGAGCTAATGGGAGCGCTTATTGCATCGCGGCTTGCAAATGAGATAAGTAGAACGTTGTTTACCGACGACACCTGCCCGTTATATTGTTGGACAGACTCCGCGGTTGTGTTAGCCTGGATCCAAAGACAGTATTTTTGGAAGCCGTTTGTGAGCAATAGGGTAAGTGAAATTTGTGCTCACACTAAGAAGGAACATTGGCGGCACGTACCGGGCCATTGCAATCCGGCAGACCTACTGTCACGTGGCTGTAATATGAAGACATTAATGGACAGTCACTGGTGGGATGGCCCTGCTTGGCTATTATCTGACCAAGAACTGTGGCCTCAGTCTAATCACATCGCAGTAGATGAGAACGCTGTTTCCATAGAAGCAAAGAAGGAGGTACTTGTAAATACTAATGTAGATACTGAACATTTTAGCGAGAAGCTTTTATACTTTTCTAAGTATTCAAGAATTGTACGTGTAGTAGCTTGGATATTCCGATGGAGAAGGCGACGAATGTTTAGTATAGCTTATATAAGCAATGATGAATTCGAAGAAGCTGAGAATATACTTATAAGACTTATTCAGGGTGAACATTATGTAAATAGAACTAAATTGAATAAGAAACTGTGCATACATTTAGATAGTAATAGTATTATGAGAGTAAAGACTAGATTAGGTTTAGGAAATTATGATAAAGATTTTTCGAGTCCCATATTATTACCAGGGAAAAATGTCATTGTGAGGCGACTCGTTGAAGAGAAACATATATACTTAAAGCACATTGGATCACATACTTTAATGTCAGAGCTGAGAAACAGATTCTGGATTACAAGTGTGAGATGGCTATGTAAGGATATAGTTAAGAAATGCATAATTTGTCGTAGGCAAAAGGGCATACATTATGATACACCGGAGACACCACTCCCTCTTGAACGGATTCAAGGCACGGCAGCGTTTCAAATGACAGGTATAGATCTGGCCGGGCCGTTGTATTTACGTAATCAAGAGAAATGTTGGGTGGTTTTATTTACTTGCGCGACATTTAGGGCTGTGCATTTTGAGATGGTAGACTCATTGTCCACAAATAGTTTTATTATGAGTCTTCGTAGATTTATTGCTCGAAGAGGTCGTATAGACGTCATTTTCACGGACAACGGAACAAATTTTCGAGGGACTGCCAATTTACTGAAGGATATTAATTGGCAGGAGGTTGAAAGTGTGACGGCAGTCCATGCTATAAAGTGGCGTTTTATTCCACCTAGAACTCCTTGGTGGGAAGGTTGGTGGGAGAGTCTCATTAGAGTATTAAAGGAGATGTTGCGAAGAATATTGGGGCGTCAGCGATTGACTTGGGTAGAGTTGGACACAGTCTTGTGCGATTGTGAAGCTGTCATTAATAGTCGGCCACTAACATATGTCTCGACTTGTACCGACGATTTGCGGCCACTTACACCTATGTTATTTCTACATGGCTTACCTTCTAATGATACTTCTGATTTAGATTATGTAGATAATATGAATTTAAATGTAAGATACAAATATTTACAAAAGTTGAGAGAAGATTTCAGAGTTCGATTTCGTAAGGAGTATTTGGCTTTACTTACAGCTAGATGGAAGGAGAAGACAATAGAAATGAAGAAAGGAGATATAGTTCTAGTAGAGACAGACGCGAAAAGGCTATTTTGGCCCTTGGGGTTAATCATGGAAGTAGTTACCGGGGCTGATGGTGTTACTCGTTTGGCTAGAGTCAAGACTCAAAAAGGTGAAACTTTAAGACCATGTCAGAGATTGTATCCGCTTGAGATTTCAAATGATTCTGACCTCTTGCAACGAGCTGAAGTAACGATAGAGGATGAGAAGTTATCAGTAAGTTCACATAGTCCCGACTTACCCTCCTCGGTTACAGGTGGCGCGAAGGTGACGAAAACAACGCGGTGCGGTCGAAATGTGAAATTGCCTGCTCGGTACTTATGAATTACATTTGGTTTTATGGTTTTCCTTAGTATGTTGAGTTGCGTTAATTGGTTACCATTTTCTTTCGGGTCTGGAGTGTGTTGAGGATAAATAAATATTGTCTACGGCCTTTTTAGGTTTTTTATATCTTGTAAGTTGTTGTCATGGTTACGAAAAATAACAAGAAAAATGTAAGACTAGTTTTTCGTAATAAGTATATTTTTGTTAGAAGATTAAATGTTTCAAGTCTAAGAAATCTTCTTATTTCAATGTGAGGAGCTACATACAACGGTCATACAGAAACTCCCCACAGTGTGCTCGTTTGTCACCTTATTTCTATAAAAAAAAAAACTAAACAAAATTAAACTGCCATGTGCACTCAATGGCTTCCCACATGATAGATGAAGAGTTTTAAAAATATATTGAGTTGAACAATTGATATTTTCAAATGTTATCGTGTTTACAAGCCTTGTGGACTTATCCACAAAATCCACAACATAAGCTACCAAAACGCCTTTTTTATTTAAAAATAGCAATCAAACGATTTAAAAAAAATAATAATAAGTTCAACAATCATTTATCTTTCTGACAATGTGCTTTTTATATCACTTATATGTACAATATGATTGCTAGATACGATTGCATGCGACAAAACGTTGGAATCTTAATTTTTAGGCCCTAGTAGAACATACCGACGCCCTTAGGCGCTTACGGCATGCAATAGGCTGCTGCCAAGGAGCTTTCAATTCAATTTGAGGTAGGCATGTGCTGCTACTACTGCTGCTCGGGCAAAAAGTTTGACTATAATATTTCTTGTGCATAAGTGTGGACGAAGTCGTTTATGATATTACCATACCTGTTATACATTTCTTAAACTAATATTTTTACTTATTTGATAATAAATAGATTCCGAACGTAAGGAAGCTGCCCTCCTCTCTATTACATTACTTGAATATTAATATATATTTTTTTTATTTTACAATATGAATAATGCCTTGGTTTAACAAAGGCAAGAAGTTAGTGAGCATGGCGATAAAAGAGGTAGCAGAAGACCGTAAAACATAAGGATTTCTTATGTTTACACGAACACTACACATTAAAATAAAACTAGTTTTTACGGATTCGGATTCTATCGCGTATATTAACTTATTTTATATTCCCGACGTTTCGAGTACTTCACAGTACCCATGGTCACAAGGAGGACTGAGGTGTTCGACGTTCCAATGTCCATAAGAAAAGTCTGCAGTTTGTGGTCATATATTATTAGATGGCCCCAGCCAGTACATCAGATTCGATAGATCCTCGTGAAAGAACATCTATTCCTATCGATGATGATATGTGAAGCTATTGAAATTAAAAAAAAGAACATCATAATTTCAATAGAGAAGGAGGCTGGGTACTGCCAACTGCTTGGCATCCTGTAATTAATAAAAGTAAAACTTAACCCAAGCATACCCCTGCAAGACTTCAAGGCAGTAAGTTCATTCTGCCTAGATAGAACCAAAAGTAATAGTTAAAAAGCTGGAAGTAGGGGTGCTGGAAAGCACACGAAACATCGGGAATTAAAATTAAGTTGTATTAAGAATAAATTAAACGCGAGGACAATCGAAAAAGTAATTTTGATCAATCTGACGATTCTGTAAAAGATAAGGACTACGTGCGGTCATTGCAGATGCCGCAAAACATTTCTGATTCCGAAGACAGAATCAGTCTATATCATACTTCTTGCCTTCTATCTATTCCAAATTAAAAAAAAACAGTAAATAAAATAGATTCATCAGATCAGATTTGGCAGAAGATGAAGAATTACAATAATTGAAAACGGTTTGGTAGAGCAGAAAACCACATCTCAAAATAAAAAAAAACTGGTTCTTTAAGAATAAAAATCATTGTCTAGTTTCTCCTAATAGGTCTTAGTGCTAAGCATGAATAAAGTTTTAATATTCTTTAAACCACAGCACATTTTAGTCTACACATAGCAAGTTTTCAAAATTTATATAATAATAATGTACCTATGCTAATGCTAAGCAAAAAAGTGGTTCCGTGAGATTGATGTACATTTAGCCACCTTTTAGTTTAGTTTCACTTGTATTTAATTTGATTATTTGCTGCTAAACTATAAGGCGGTCAAATCACTAAACAGCAATGAAGCTTAGTCAAAGAGTGTAATTTAAACAATGCGTCAGAAATAAAAAAAAAGTTAAAGTAGGTTAGCCGCATTTTTGTGTATGATTATTGTCAGTGCTATACTAAAAAGCAGTTAAAGTATACTTAACTGCCTCTTATATTGTGATAAACATTCAGATATAATGATTCAATACTTACGTTAACTACATTTTTATATTTAACGGAACAGTATGCCAATAATTTCCGTCAAAAATGTGTATGAAAGATTCGTTAGTTTTTTTTTACATACATTCCAATAGTTGAAATATTTTTCTCAGTGATATCTATCAAGAAAACTTATTTCGCGCTTTTTTCATTTATTCTCGAAACATACTTTTGTGGCTTAGCCGCCTTCTTCCGTATCAGGGCAATATAATACAGATAATGCTCCAAATAGTGGTCATAGACTTAGAGTACCAAAGTATATGATAGTGGCTAACAACCGTCTTCGTCCATCACATCTTCTCCTAAGAGCAATTTACTTTAAACGCAACGCCTTTACCATGTCACAGCAATAAATGCTTTGAACGAAATGGCAGTATAAACACAAGCCAAAATCAAAATACGGTAAATACATCTCAGGACACTAGTAACTATGCGGACAAACAGAGAAAGATATGAAATGTTGTTATACTTGCAGATCTCCAAGGACGGTATGTTTGTTAAATCTTGCAAAGATTTTAAGGTTCTTATTTTAAAGTTACCTGTTATTTTAAGCCCGGAGCTAAAGTAAACAACCATCTTCAACTCAATACGTCTTTATCCGAACTAACTCTAAATGATTTTGTTGTAATAATTGGCGGTATAAATGATACTGACCCATATCAGTTTGAAGTTGCTTTTGGGAACTGTTTACAAACTTTAACAAAACAAAATGTTATAGTGCTAAAAGTACCCTATAACAGGAGTTTGAATGAATATAAATGAAATTACTTAGTCAGATATATTTGCAAAAGATACGCGAATGTGTCATATTGATATGGGTTACATTAGTTATTTACCCTTAATGAAAAATTTTGCCTTAAATATTTGTAAAACAAAAGAAGTATTATATTTAGCTTATAAACTAAACTTTGAGTTATATAATAAAAATATTGCTCACAAGTCCTTATCAATTAATTCACAAAATAAACATGAATAATTTTACTCAAACTGACTTGGTAATTAATGCAAATAAGTTAGATAATGATGATAATTTATGCATGGCTGTAAATGATATTTCAAACAATAACTCTAATTCTAACACTCACAATAGCTCTAATCTTTTTCTAGTATAATTATTTATTGATTTTACACAAAAATGTAAATGGTCTAATGAATAAATCGGATTTATTGGTCCAACACTTACATGAGCTATCACTAAATGGTAAAAATATATGTGATCTGCATTACGGAGCATAATGTTACGGATGGTGATGATATATATTTGAACATTGCTAATTTTCAACTAGCAACATACGCTAACAGAAATAATAAAAGAGGGGAGTCATGTGTTTTTAAAAAAACAATAAATTGAAGTATAAAATGGTCGAATTACATCAATATTCCTGTCCTAACATTGAGGAGTGTTGTGGTGTGTAATAAATAGAACACGGTATAATTATTGTTTGTTCATATAGATCTCCAAAAGAAAACATAGACGCCGTAACTACCGCTTTCTATAACTTTGATAGTATGTTACAAAAAAATTGTAGTTTTAGTAAGAAAAATATGTGGGGACTTTAACAAAAATATTTTAAAAAGGACACGGCTTTGTACAGAATTGAAAAATAAATTGTTAAATTTTAACTCACGACCGAGTATTCGCAAGCCTACTCGTTTATCGAGTGGCAAGTGTATTGATAATATAACTCATAATATAAGAGGCAGTAAAGGTGTAGTTATAGAGCTTGGAATATCAGATCATACCGTTCCAGTACTAAAAAATGTACTGTTAATAAAATCTTACTCTATCACTCATTACTTAGTTCATGTTAAAACGGAATCACAGCGTAGAAAATTGAAATAAATTTAAAAATGGCATTAGAGGTCCCAGTTTTAATAGTAATTATGAATGCCCTGTTCCTAATGTGTTTTGGTATGTTTCCTGATTTAATGAAGTGTATTAAAGTAATACCTTTATTTAAATCTGGTAGTACATTGGACCCCGCTAATTATAGACCTATTTCTGTACTACAAACTCTCAGTAAAATTTTGAAAATTTAATTTTGGGTCAATCGTAAATTTTTTTTTAATACAAATAAATTACTTTATAAAAAACAATTTGGTTTTACAAGGGGTCGCTCGACGTCTGACGCCGGTGTTGCGCTTATGAAATATATTTTTAATGCCTGGGAAAATTCACAAGATGCCTTAGGTATTTTCTATGTCCTTTCCAAGGCTTTTAATTGTGTTCATCATGAGACATTAATCAGGAAACTACAACATTACGGTGTAAAAAATTTGGCGCTTACACTTATTAGTTCATATTTAAGTAACATAACTCAAAAAGTCATGATAAATGGTAAAGGTTCCTCCGGATTGGCAGTATCAATGGGTGTTCTTCAGGGCTCGCTTCTTGGCCCATTCCTGTTCTTAATCTATATTAATGACTTACTTTATCTTGTAGGGAACAATCACGATATAGTATTGTTTGCTGACGATACCTCTTTAATTTTCAAATTCAGACGGTAGTCAATTAATTATGACGATGTAAATAATGCTCTATCGAAATTAGTACATTGGTTTAACGCCGAAAATTTGCTCTTAAACGGTAATAAGACAAAATTTATTAAATTTACAATACCTAATGTAAAACATTCGAATACCAATGTGCTGTTGAATGGGGAGGAGTTGAGTCTTGTGGATACCACTGT